GGGTTTTCCTCACTATTACCGGTATTATGGTCATTAGTTTCAGTCACAACCTCATCAAAACTTGAAACTCATCTTCACTGGCACTTACATCTGTATTAGAATTGTCACTGGGGAACAAAAGTGTCCCAGTTTGCTGAGGAGTGAGGAGTTTCTTACCACGAGGCATGGTGAGCAAGGTGTACTAAAATGGCATACCCACAATGTGCCACTGGGTCCCAGAATTTTTTCCTACCATGCACACTCACCATGCAGACCCATTCTCTCACATCTAGGCCTTCCAGCTGTTTCCCGCTTAATTTGAAGCTGCTAGAATTTGTGTGTACTAGTATGGCACCAACCCTGGCGCGCAAGCCGTACTAGGACGGCACCAACCCTGAAAGGGTTAATACTCGTTGCTGCAGCCTTTACACATAATTACGTCCCTCAGCTATGTAGGAAGACTCTCACACAAATGTTTGAGGGTTTGGGGAGGTATATTATTCCATGCCTCATGTAGAGCAACCTCCAGCCATGGGATGGAACTGATATCCTTGCCCAGTAAACTTGGTTTCACTATTTACCAGAGGTTCTCAATAGGGTTTAGGTCTGGCGAATTGCCTGGCCAGTCATTAAAGAACCTCACTTCACAGTCCTTAAGCCACTGAACTACAGATTTGGCGGTATGACACAGTGCACCATCCTGCATAAAAACCGTACCCCCACACTTGTCAAACGTTTCAGGTAAATTGTCACACAATAACTCAAGTAATTATAATTGTTCATATACTGGTTTTTAGGAAGCACAATGAGTTCACCAACACTCAAAGCATTGAAACATCCTCAAACCATGAGCGAGTCTGGGTGTTTGGTGGTCCCACAGGTGTAGTGTGGATCTAGCAGGTCACCATCTCTGGGCCGGTACATAGGTTCTCCACAGTAACAGGTGACAAGTGAAGGTTAGTTTATCACTCCAAAGTACTTCAGACCACTGTTGAGGATTCCAGTGAAGATATTTCTTTGCATAATCCAGCCTATGTTTCTTCTGTGGTTTGGAGAGGATCAGTTTCTTAACCTGGTGGTGACTACTGTAGCCCAGTTCTGACACACGTCTGCTAACAATTTATACAGACACCTCTGAGAGAAGATGTGGGTTCTTTTCTTTCAATTCTCTAGCAGTTATCTTAGGTGTACTCTCTAATTGCTTCTTTAACACAGTTAAGGTACGAACAGATGTCTTCTTTCAGGGGCCAGCCGAGATTTGGCAAACAGTATCTCGACACCGCCACCAGCCTTGAAACACTGCACCAAGTTCCTCACTGAACGCTCACATACACCAATATTCTCCTCTATTTCTTTTGTCTGGTGCCCAGCTTTGTGAAGCCCTATGATTTGAGCTATAGTTTCAAGTGTTAAAGACTTCCTTTTAACTATAATTAAACATGCATAGCCCCAAAACCAAAGGGAACACATGGCAGCCATCTGAGCACTGAGGAGTTACAGTGGAACCTCAAAAATCGAACTTAATCCGTTCGAGGAGCTAGTTCTAAATTCAAAAAGTCTGAAATTCGAAGCAATATTTCCCATAAGAAATAATGGAAATACACCTACCATCCGACTTACGACCGAGTTCGGTTCCGAGAAACCGGTCGTAAGTCGAAATGGGCGTAAGTCGAACCTTACTACTGAATATCAACAAAGCATTTTTGTAATGACTTTATTTTATTGTTTTATTTTGGTATTTCATGTTTTACTTTACTTTTTATGCTGTTAATACTGTATTTTATACTGTAAGGTTTAGGATAAACACTGTGTACAACACAAATAGTTGTTTATTTCCCAGAAATTTGGCATAAAAAACATGGTCATAAGTCGAGTGGTCGCAAGTCGAGCAGGTCACAAGTCTGATGGTAGGTGTACAATTAATCCGTTCCAGAAACACAAATATATTCACACAAAAAATACATTTTATAGAGAAAAATTACAGTTTTACATACAACAAATACTATAGTTTTTAATTATGTATAGTAATACATATAAAATAACAATTTTACTTACCTTTATTGAAGATTGGTGATGGCATCTGGAAGATAGGGAGGAGGAGAGAGGGAGTTGGGGTTAGTGTTTGGAAGGAGAATCCCCCTCCATGAGGACTTCAGGTAAAGCCCTCTCTGGGGTTACTTCCCTTCTCTGTCTTTTAATGCCACTAGGACCAGCTTGAGAATCACTGGACCCCTGTCTCACAAAATAACTGTCCACAGTCCTCTGTTTCTGGCGCCTCTTTAACATTTCCCTAAAATGGGACATTGTTCTGTCACTGAACTTGTTGCAAAGATGGGTTGTTTCAGCTTGCTCAGGGTGGTACTTCTGCACAGACATTTGGACATCATTCCACTTGGCACAAATCTCCTTAATCTTTAAAGAAGGCACCTCATCCACTCTTCCTCCTCCTCTGAAGCAAGTTCCTCAGCTGTGGTCTGAAACTGCTCCAAATGAAGCTCTTGCAGCTCTTCAGTGGTTAGCTCTTCCCTGTGGTCCTCCACCAACTCTTCCACATCCTCACCACTCACCTCCAACCCCAGGGTGTTCCCCAATGCCACAATAGAGTCCACAACAGGCAGAGGGTGAGCTGGGTCAGGGTCAGCCTTAAAAAAAAAAAAAAACTTCAAAATCCCTCTTTTGGACACAATCTGGCCACAATTGTCTCCAAGCAGAGTTCAAAGTCCTGGAAGTCACTCCCTCCCAAGCCTTACCTATAAGGCTTATGGAGTTGTAGATGTTGAAGTGATTCCTCCAGAACTCTCTTAGGGTCAACTTAGTGTCTGTGGTCACTTCAAAGCACTTTTCAAACACTGCTTTTGTGTAGAGTTTTTTGAAGTTAGAAATGACCTGCTGGTCCATGGGCTGGAGGAGAGGAGTGGTGTTAGGAGGCAAGAACTTCACTTTTATAAAACCGAAGTCCTTAGACAAGAGGTCTAATAAGTTTGGAGGATGAGCAGGAGCATTGTCCATTAACAGGAGGCACTTGAGTGGCAATTTCTTTCCCTGGAGGTATTTTTTCACACTAGGGCCAAACACTTCATAGATCCACTCTTTGAAAATTTATCTTGTGACCCATGCCTTATGATTAGCTTTCCACAAGACACATAACTTGTTCTTTATGACATTGTTTTTCTTAAACACTCTGGGATTTTCTGAATGATACACAAGTAAAGGCTTCACTTTAAAATCACCACTAGCATTAGCACAGAATAAAAAAGTTAGCCTGTCTTTCATAGGCTTGTGTCCTGGGAGTGCCTTTTCCTCCTAAGTAATGTAGGTCCTCTTTGGCATTTTCTTCCAAAAACAAGCCTGTTTTGCCACAATTAAACACTTGTTCAGGTTTGAATTCTTCACTGTCTATGTACCCCTTAAACTCCTTTACAAACTTCTCAGCCGCCCAGTTGTCTGAACTGGCTGCCTCACCATGTCTTACAACATTGTGTATGCCACTATGCTTGTTAAATCTGTCAAACCAGCCTCTGCTGGCCTTAAATTCACTATTAGCACTGGTTCCAGGAGTTTTCTGTACCAGATCGGCATGCAACTTCCTTGCCTTTTCGCAAATAATCGTCTCTGAAACACTATCACCTGCAATCTCTTTATCCTTAATCCACACCAGCAACAACAACTCAACCTCTTCAACTATTTGCGGTCTTTTTTTGGTTAGCATATTAACACCTTTCGCAACATCAGCTTCCTTGATTTGTTCTTTCTTTGCCAGGATAGAACCGATGGTTGACTTGTTTTTCCCATACATCCTGGCAAGCTCAACAAGTCTCACACCACTCTCATACTTCTGTATTATTTCCTTCTTCACATCTATGGTGTTTCTCACTTTCTTTACCACAGGGTACCACTAGCAAGTTTCTTTGGGCCCATGGCAGCTTATTTCACAGTCCCACAAGCACTAAACATAACGAAATAATCGTAAAATGTGTGAATGAGAGCGCAGGTTAGTGTTCACTCAAGCATAAACAAAACTAGACTGCTCACGGCGCCTGCGCAGGGACGCGGACAGAGCGGGCTGGCAGACAGGTCCTGTACCTAGCGGTCCAAAATTAGGGGCACGTTCGATAATAGGGACACAGTTTGTCCGAAGAAATGGTCCTATGTATTTTCGAAACGTTCGATATGCGATACGTTCGATTTTTGAGGTTCCACTGTACTTTGGAGTGTGGTGGCAGGCCATGCCATCTTGCTATGGCTGCTACCCGGTATAATGCACTGACGAGAAAAGGCCTCCCTGTATGGTAGGCTTTTGATTTTCGTCACGGCATTATGCCAGGGCGCTCACCCGGCATAATGCTGTGATGAGCACTGAATATATATACATTTTATTTGTTTATATTTATATTTGCTGTACTCAGCTTTGCTGTTCAAAGCAGAACAATGTCGAACATTGCAAAATATATTTTATTGGCCTGAAATAATAATGACTTAATTTTGGCTGACTTTTGAAAATTTAGCAAGTTTATGGTATGTTATGTCATTAAGTTAGTAATGGTGCAAAAGTATAGGTTTACATATTGTGTTAATTCACCTTAATATGTCAGTCACTAAATAAAATAATATTGTGAAAACAGCCTCTGGCATTGCTCTATAACTAAAGAATGGTGCCCAGATCCACTGACCTACAATCTTGTAAGGATGAAGTGATCGTTGACCCATCACTTGCTTACATGACCCCCATTGACACTTCAGCTGGAGAATATATAGAAATGTTTCATCATTTATTGGAACAGCCACAGAGCAATGTGTGTGTGTTTTTAAGTAGGTTAAAAATTCCAAAAAGGGTGAGTAGACATGCAGTAATGCCAGTGAGGTACAATGCTGGTCATGTCTTATGTTACAGTATTGTTTGTAATATGGTGTTCAAGTCTTTGAGCACATGTCTCTGAAATATCATTAAGTGATAAGAAAGTAATATTCAATTTGTCACATTATTCTCAAAGGTGCAGACATTCGTAATTCTCACACAACAGGTGCAGAGTTATGCTACACTCCCATGCTACATGCCCACGTCTTTGTGAAGGATGCTAGGTACAGGCGGGAGAACCTCACAACATGCCTTGAGGACCGTCCACTTATTGTCCAAGTAAGTCACTACCCCATCATTGTGGAGGCAGGTGACCTCTTCTGTTGTTGTCCATCTAAAAGGTGATCATAATACAGCCTCTCACTTAACGACAGAGTTCCGTTCCTAAGACCACATTGGTAAACAAGGTAGCGAGGTTCTGACCAGAGCTTTTGTAAGATGGAGGAGGAAGAAGGATGGGTAAGGATGGAATGTTGGAAAGGTTTTGGAGGGTGGTGGGGTAAGTGAGGTTTTAACCCTTTCAGGGTCGACAGGCCCTCTCAGAGACTTGTTCTCAGGGTCGCCCAAATTTCAAAAAAAAAAAATTATTTTTTCTTATGGAAAGATAGAGAATCTTTTCCGATCATAATAACACCAAAAGTATGAAATTTGATGGAAAACTTACGGAATTATGCTCTCACGAAGTTAGCGGTCTCGACGATGTTTACGCATCAGCGATTTTGCCCACTTTGAGCCCTACTTTCGGCCAATTCCACTGTACTAGTCGACAAAAATCATGAATATTTCGCTAGAACTCCATTTTTTCTATCGAATAAGTGCAAGAAACCATCCATTTACCGATTTCAACTATTCAATACAGTGGTCAGAATTTAGCAATTATGCCAATTTCACACAAATTTCAAAAGATGCCAATTTCCAAATAGGGCCCAGAATAAACAAGGAAGACATTCCTGGCACTAAAATGACATTTCCTCTGTTCATTAGTCACGTCCCAACGCCCCTCTTACATTCTTTTGCTTTCCACTTTGAATTTTTATTCTCACAAAAAATAGAAGATTTACTGTTATGCAGACTACTGCATTAGTGTAAAAAATGGTATAAATAATATTGGCGCACTTGTGAAAGAATGTTAGACTCTCCAGTTGATGTGTATTGGATGCCTAGCGTGATTTGTTAACTTTTGAGCTTTGGTAAAAATCGAACATTTCTGCTACTTTGAGCTCAATTTCAAGGTACTTTTCATTGTAAAACCAATCAAAATCATCTCAATTTCTGTAATATGTCTTCCATTCTATAGAATGAGATCAGGAAAACTAGAATACAACCATAAATACCATACGAAAATACAGTGCAAAATCGCTGTTTTAATCCAAAAACACGGTCAAAGTTTTTTTTTTCTCATTACACGCTGTGTGCTGCAGGATTTTTTTTATACTGCGCACACTAACCACATAGACCCATTCTTTCATATGTAGGCCTACCAGCTTTCTCTCACTAGATTTGAGGGCGCTAGAATTTAGGCGTACTAGTATGTCAAAAACCCTGGCGTGTAAGCCGTACTAGTATGGCTGAAACCCCAAAAGGGTTAAAGGTAAGTGACCTATCGAAATGAATTCATCACTAAGTGAGGAGCATAATATAATGTTAGTGAGTTTGTATTAACCATCTTTGATATTGTTTTAATGTCACCTTTGCACTATTTATAACATTTCTGGTATATTTTTAACCCTTTCAGGGTTGGTGCCATACTGGTACGCTTATGCGCTAGGGTTGGTGTCGTACTAGTGCGTATAAATTCTAGCGCCTTCAGATCAAGCAGGAGAAGGCTGATAGGCCTAGATGTGAAAGAATGGGTCGGCATGGTCAGTGTGCGCAGTATAAAAAAAGCCCTGCAGCACACAGTGCATAATGAGAAAAAAAAATTCTGAACGTGTTTTTGGTTTAAAACAGCGACTTTGCAGTTAATTTTTGTATGGTATTTATGGTTTTATTCTCGTTTTCTTGGTCTCATTTGATAAAATGGAAGATATATTACAGAAATAAATATAATTTTGATTGGTTTCACGATGGCAAGTACCTTGAAATTGAGTGCAAAGTAGCAAAAAATGTTCGATTTTTGCCAATGTTCAAGAGTAAACAAATAATGCCACGCATCCAATATGCGTCAACTGGTGAGTAATAGTCTTTCACAAGTGCACTAATATCATTTATACCATGTTTACAATGCTGCATTAGTATACATAACAGAAAACCTTCTATTTTCTGTGAGAATAAAAATCCAAAATGGAAAGCAAAAGTAATGTAAGAGGCCTAGAGACGTGGCAAATGAACAGATAAAATGTTATTTTAGTGCCATGAATGTCTGTTTTGTTTATTCTGGACCCTGTTTCGAAATTGGCATCTTTTGAAATTTGTGTGAAATTGCCCAAATTGCCAAATTCTGACCACTTATTGGGTAGTTGAAATCAGTAAATGGGTGGATTCTTGTACTCAATCGATAGAACAAATGGAGTTCTAGGGAAATAGCTATGATTTTAGTCAACTGCTACATTGGAATTGGCCGAAAATAAGGCTCAAAGTGGGCGAAACTGCCCACTTTGAGATCGCTAACTTTGCGATAGCATAATTCCATAAATTTTCCATCAAGTTTTCGGCCGACCGAGATGCTGCCGCTGGCATGTCCTGCCAACGGCAGGCATGTTCCGGCATGTACCAGACATGTTCCGTCCAGTTTCCGGCCAGCCTGAACATACCAGTGGTGTCATTATGATTGGAAAAAGATTCTCTATCATTTCATAAGAAAAAATAATTTTTTTTTTCGAAAATTTTTCAACCCTGAGAATGAGTCTGGGAAAGGGCCTCTCGACCCTCAAAGGGTTAAACCAATCAGGGAAAATTTCCCTGTGACCCATGCCTTACTGTTAGCCTTCCACATCACACACAATTTACTCTTGGCGACACTGTTTTTCTTGAACACTCTGGGATTTTCAGTGATAGACCAGTAAAGGCTTCACTTTGCAATCCTCGCTAGCATTACTAAAAAGCATGAGAGTTAGCCTATCTTTCATAGGCTTGTGTCCTGGGAGTGCCATTTCCTCCTGCGTGATGTAGGTCCTCTTTGGCATTTTCTTCCAAAACAGGCCTGTTTCGTCACAATTGAACACTTGTTGGGGTTTGAATTTTTCAGTGTCTATGTACCCCTTGAATTCCTGTACAAACTTCTCAGCCGCCCGTTTGTCTGAACTGGCAGCCTCACCATGCCTTACCACACTGTGTATGCCACTATGCTTCTTAAATCTCTCAAACCAGCCTTTGCTGGCCTTAAAATCACAAACATCACCACTCGTTGCAGGCATTTTCTTTACGAGATCGTCATGCAACTGCCTTGCCTTTTCACATATTATCAACTGCATAATACTATCTCCTGCTAACTGTTTTTGGGTAATCCACACCAACAATAACCTCTCCACTTCTTAAAGAGTTTGCGATCTCTTTTTTGTCAGCATATTTACCCCTTTTGCGACAACAGCACACTTTATTTCCTTTCCCTTCACCACTATCAAAGTGATGATTTAATGGGGTTTGCCATACATCCTGGCAAGTCCTGTAACATACACTCCACTCTCATATTTTTCAATGATTTCTGTCTTGAATTCGATTGTGTTCCTCACTTTCTTTACCAAAGGGCTGGCACTAGCTTTCTTTGGGCCCATGGTGACTTATTAAGCAGTTGCAAGCACACAAAACAATGGCTTATTATGAAACATATTGTATGAACCCGTGGGGTGACGATCACTCGCTGGTAAACAATGGCACACTGAGTGTGAATGGTGCGGGAGACTGGCTTTGTGTGCTCGCTGACGGACGCTTACCTGACGGTTGCTGAATCACAAGGCTAATTACGAACCGCGAGGCTATATTTTGGCGAAAAAAGTTGCCGAAAGTCGGATTTCACGAAAGTCGCGGCCACCAAACGGAAGGGGTTTACTGTATATGTGTACTCACCTAATTGTACCCACCTAATTGTGGTTGCAGGGGTCAAGACTCAGCTCCTGGCCCTGCCTCTTCACTGACTGCTACTGGGCCCTCCCTCTCCCTGCTCCATGAGCTTTATCATACCTCGTCTTAGAACTATGTATGGTTCTTGCCTCCACTGCATCACTTGCCAGACTATTCCACTTCCTAACAACTCTGTGGCTGAAGAAATGCTTCCTAATATCTCTTTGACTCATCAGAGTCTTCAGCTTCCAATTGTGACCCCTTGTTTCTGTGTCCCATCTCTGGAACATCCTGTCTCTGTCCACCTTGTCTGTTCCATGCAGTATTTTGTATGTCATCATCATGTCTCCCCTGACCCTCCTGTCCTCCAGTGTCATCAGACCGATTTCCCTTAACCTTTCTTCATAGGACATTTTCCTTAGCTCTAGAACCAGCCTTGTTGCAAACCTTTGCACTTTCTCTAATTTCTTGACATATTTGACCAGGTGTGGGTTCCAAACTTGTGCTGCGTACTCCAGTATGGGCCTGACGTACAGAGTGTATAAAGTCTTGAATGATTCCTTACTGAGATACCGGAATGCTATTCTCAGGTTTGCCAGGCACCCATATGCCGCAGCAGTTATCTGGTTAATGTGTGCTTCTGGCAATGTACTCGGTATTATACTCACCCCTAGATCTTTCTCCTTGAGTGAGGTTTGCAGTCTTTGGCCTCCTAGCCTATACGTACTCTGTCTGCCTATACTCTGTCTGTCCTTCTCCAATCTTCGTGACTTTGCATTTGGTGGGGTTAAATTCTAGGAGCCAGTTGCTGGACCACGCATCCAGCCCATCTAGGTCTCTTTGTAGACCTGTCTGGTCCACATCTGATTTAATTCTCCTCATGAACGTCACATCATCTGCAAACAGGGACACTTCTGAGTCTATCCCTTCCGTCATGTCATTCACATATACCGAGAATAGCACTGGTCCCAGGACTGACCCTGTGGGACCCTGCTCGTCACAGGCACCCACTGTGATACCTCATCATGGACCATGATTCGCTGTTGCCTCCCTGTTAGGTATTCTCTGATCCATTGTAGTGCCCTTCCTGTTATATGTGCCTGATCCTCTAGCTTCTGTACTAATCTCTTGTGAGGAACTGTGTTGAAGTCCTTCTTGCGGTCCAAGAAAATGCAATCAACCCACACCACCCTCTCATTTCTTACTTCAGTTACCTTGTCATAAAACTCTAGTAGGTTTGTGACACAGGATTTGCCTTCCATGAATCCATGCTGGCTGTC